AACAACTGTAAGCATAAATGCTTAGTGAGTTCCCCAATATACCACTTACACACATGCGCCCTTCCAGGCCATGACCTTCCGGTCCATGTCTCTCAGGGGACTTCCGTCCGAACCCGGTAAACCTTCCGGTCCTACCCGTGTCGACTTTTCGGTCCATAACTTCCTAACCTTCCGGTCTACATCATAATGTCTTCCGACCCATAACAGAATGACTTTCGGCCATATCAAGCATATCATACATATCTCATACAAAACAGGCAACTAATAGCATACAATGCATATATCTTATAGCATACCAGACCTTCCGGTCACACGTAGGGATGTCAACGGGGGCAAACGGGGCGGGGAGTGCATCTCCCGCCCTGCCCCCAAAATTTCCCTGTCCCCCCACCCCCACCCCATCCCCGAAATGTTCAATGTTCCTACCCCCGCCCCCGCCCCCGAATCCTCTTTATTACCCCCGCCCCGCCCCCGTTCCCCTGTCCCGGCCCCGTTCCCCCGCCCCGATTGATTTTGGGCTACTTTTTTTTGGGCTAAAAGAAGTTGTTATTTAGGCTAAAATAAGCTATTTTTTTAGGTAACAAATAATTATTTATAACAAAATTTTATATTTTAAAAATAAAAAAGTTATGGCATTTTAAAAAATTATACTAACAGCTTAAAAACATGTTTTTTGATGAATTTTGGAAGCTCAAAATCCTGTTATAGTTTATTATATTTATATAATTAATATATGTAAATATATGTGTAATTTATTAATGGGGTCCCCATGGGAATTTCGGGATGGGATTGCCTACCCTCGCCCCCGCCCCTGATTTTTTAATAAAAAATCCCCCAAACCGGACGGGGCCCCCAAGATCAGACTCCTATGATCTTTCATACGATCAATGAGGGATACATGGATGATTAGATGCGGGAGTTCATTTTGTCAGAGATTACTTGCAATATTCTTGATCAGACTCCTATGATCTTTCATACGATCAATGAGGGTATCATGGAGGTTCTGGATGAGCGCTTGCACACTTTTCATTTTGAGATTGTGGCGATGGTGGGAGCTCACTCTTTGAGTTTTTAAGAGTTTCCGGCATGTGGGGATCTAGAATTCTTCGGGAAGAAGGACCCTATCGCGAGCAGGAGTTGGTTAGCAGATATCACGAACGCCTTCCATACTAGCTTCTACCTCAAGGGGTCGAAGGTCGGATTTGCATATTGTCTGCTGAAAGACAGAGCTCGTAACTAGTGGGAGGAGGTTGACCACGCCCTGAGAGGAAAATCGGTTGACTCGATGAGTTGGGAGGATTTTGTGATGAGGTTTCTGTGACAACCCGAAATTTCCATTTGTACGAACAATATCTATTCAATAGAAGCCAGTCCAGCTTCAGTGATTTTCAGACTTTTCCGAACAAGTTTGTGTACATTAGGGTTTACGTTTCTGGAGATATTAGGAGAGTGGATGCTCCTGGATTTGTGAAACTTGAACATTCCAAGTTTCATAATGTTATAGTCCAACTTCCGGAATAAAAATATTTTCTGTCAAAATATTTCAGGACTATAAATAGATTTCTGAATTTAATTAATTCATTATTCACAATTCCAACTAGAGAAAAGCCATTTTCTCTCTGACGGATCTTCGGGTTTTCATCCCGGATTGTGAGTCTACTTTCCTAAATGTGTTTTAATGTTTGTTATATGCTTTATAACATTGTTTACATGTCTAAAATACAAGATCCGGGAGCTTACGGCCCAAGAACGTTCTTGGGGTGTAAACTCCAAAACGAAGCCTAAAGGCTTCCTAGTCCCGATTCCTTGTTAGACAACTTGTTAAGGACTTAATGTATAAACATTTGAGGCTAGAAATCAATCAAGAAACCCTATTATAGGAGTTTACGGCCAAGGATATCTAAACCCCTTTTTAAGGGCTATAAGTGCCCTAAATCACCCCTAAAGCTTAAGGACCTTTACCCTCTAATGCTTG